TATATATATGGTCCATATAGCAATATTCCATATCGAGGCTCAGTTTTTGGAAAAGGTTAAATTTCCTCAAATTCTCACCGTGGGCTTGCAAGTTTGATTTGGTATGTGAATTGCGAAAACCCTATTCTTTTTGTCTTGTGTGGCGTTATTTGGCCGAGTTATGTAAGTAATTTTTGTCCTTTGGCATGGTAAATGTGTATAAATATCTAAACAGGGGAAGTAGATGTGGGTGGCTAGTTGGCTGCTTTTAGCCCCTCTGAGCTGTTTGTGTTGTTTACTTGTTCAGTCGGCCGTTTGATTTTGTCGTTCTTGGGTCCTTGTTTTGGCCTAAAGCCTATGTTTTGAGACTTCAATGGTGAAATAGTAGTATGTGTGTCTAGGTCGTCTAGCCCTCAATTTTTATATTTATCCATTGCTATGAGACGTGTGGGGTTCCAACTCAACTTAAAGCTTTGTTAATGCCTCAGTGCAATTGTAAAATGCAAAATCTTTACCTATGATTCAACATTTGACAAGGATTTCGTCTTGCCAATTGAACTTAATTATAGTTCTTATGCCACATTTGGTTATAAGAGGAATGGTCATATTGTCCCTTTATTCATATACTCCTATTTGGTCTTTTTTTTTAATAAGGAATGACTATTTTAGACAATGATCATTTCTTAAAAACACGGAATAACTAATACCAATCTTCCTTGGTATTAATTATTTTGCATAGACTGAAATAGGCTAACAAATTTTTTGATAAAAATACTTGTAACCATTTTATGAAATTACTATTTTAAAGGATTAATATTTTTAATTATAATTTAAAAGTATAACAGTAAATTTTAAATATTTTTAAAAAGTATAAAAATTAATATTTCAAATTAAAAAATAAAATTAAAGTTTGAATTATGAATTATTTTTTTTAATTTTTTTTAAAAAATTAATACTTTAAATAAATCATAAAATTTTAATATTTTAACAGTTAAAAATAGAGAAAAATTAAATAAAAATAAGTAATCAGATTAAATTTTTAATTAAAAATATTAATAGTTTTAATAAATTATCAAAAATTTAATATTTTATATTAAAAATCATAAATTATAATAAAGAGTATTGTTGTCTTTTTATTACATATTCTTTTATTATTTCAAAGTTATTTTTACCAACTAAACATTAAAACATGTCATAGTATCAATTTCATTTCATGAAGCAATCTATATAATAACTATTTTCTTCTTATTTTATTTTAACAAAATAATTATTTTACTCTTATTCTATTTCATTTTGTGAACCAATGTGGTTATAATAATAAATAAACATAACAAAACGTTGTGTTTTCACTTTACCTTCACAACACAAACATATTGTGATCGTGTTTGAATTTCAGAGAATAAAATCGTTTTTACTTTGTGAGTAACTTTGAGAAATATAAACAGAACTAAACAAACATACCCAAATTATCAAAGTCACTAGCTAGCTAGCTATTATAGCAAAATTATGGCATCTCATTTTCTTCAACTAGCCAACCCCTATTTATGTCACTCTTTCGTTAAAAGGTAATTTACTAATTAATCCGATGCATGTGTTCTGCATGTCCATAAAGTGTTTTATGCAATATCCCGCAAGTTTCTCAACACAGTAACATTCATTAACTAAATTCAATTTATTGAAGTAGACATATGCTTTGATATAGCTAAGCAAGAAACTAATTACCATCAATGAAAGTGCAGCACAAAAGCAAAAAATTGACTCATAAGAGAACCAAGCTTTCTAACTTTAAATGGCTGCAAAAGATCAGTTTTCTGTCTACATGCATGCACAATGCAGCCGCTGGCTTTAACAATGTAGATTAAAAAGCAATTTGTTGAAAGTGTTTAGCTTTGTAGGACAGTAATGTCGTTCAAAGGTGATTCAAAGCGTCTTGAAAGTAAATCTTTGAATACCGTCCATGTCGTTTAAAACCTAATAAGTTCCACAGTCATACCTCAAAGAAAGTTTTCCATTATCTCAGGTTTGAACACAAAAACAGAATGAAACCCAAAAGTTTTTCAACTCAAAGACAAATCACAGAAGAATATAATGCAAGAATCTTTCTTTTGGTGTGCAATATGATTTATTCATTAATTAATTGTTCTGAACTTGAATCAGTATCGAATGCGTTGGCTAAGCCAACAGTAATATTTCTTTTTCGGAATCTAATAATTGAGGCGGCTATAAAGCCTAAAGGCAATGGGAGAGAGACTTAAAGCTTTGGTTGCATCACCAAAAAGATCGAGTTGTCCCCCCTTGTGCTTGACATTCTTTTGGCATCAATGGAGAAAACCATGCATCGGAGTCAAGCTTTGAACTATTTCCGCAGAAAGTCCTCATAGAAGTCCCCGCTTCCCGTTGCGTTGGGTTGCTTGTTGCCCTTGCCTGCATGTGATTCATTTAATATATATTTTCTCAGCCCATTGAAGTATATACCGAATTCAAGTGTAAACAAGGATGTTGCAACTCATTGAATTGCCTGCTATCCAAGGCATGCTCTACTTATGTACTCCCACCTATTTGGCATTTTATTAATCATTTTGATGTTTAAAAAACATCTGTACTAATTAAGAGTGGTTGAAACTTTGATCAATTAATCTATTCTAATTCATAGTCTCACGCTTTAATTACCGGTTGCATGATGTCCATCCTGGGAGGGAAATTTGCATTGACAATTCCAGACGCCCGACGGTGCATATAGCCATCTACCTCAGGTTTGCTGCTCACTTCATTTCGGGCAAGGTATCGGTGCCCTTGAAGATATGTCATTGGAGATTGGGCCTTTTCAACCAAGGATTCTGGTAAATTTCTACAACATAATTGAAAGGAGATGTATGCTTACGACTTTAGAAACGAGCAGAAATATGAAGAAATGGTGGCATAAATAGCTATTTCACTTTGAGTTTGCATTAAAGACCTTGATGGCTGAAGCCCATTTGATTGATCCGTTGGAGCGTGGTGATCCTTCTGTGATTGCCAGCTCAAGTTGTAGTTTAAACCCTGCGATATGGAACCCCCGGAGCTTGCCTTCTGTCCATGAATTGGATTCTAAATGTTACCACAGCAAAGCAAAGTACATGGTTAATAGACATCTCTACAGTCTTCCACAACGCTTATTGACTTGGAAATATATCATTGACATTTCAAAAAACACATTCATGACTACCTCTCTGCAACTGATTAATTGGGGCCTAATGGTATCTCCAAACCCCTTTGACGTTGGTTGAACACTACAATTTGCTTCCAAAAATCGCTGTAAAATCAGAAGTGGGACCGGTAAAGATTTCAGTGGAAAAAACCTGATGGACAAGATCTAAAGAAGAGAATGGAATACTTAATTAAGTTGCATATATATATATTTATATCTTGCCTTGCGGAAGTGGACAAGTTCCAAGGTTTGTTCCAGGATCATCTCATGGTATTGAAGCTCGCTCGTTGATTTAAGACAACTAGGATTTCTCAAAAAACAGCTTCAAAAACGAGTCCATATGTTTTATGCTTAGTAAAGATCTAAAATATCTGATATTAGAATATGAAAATTCAAGATTATTTGATAGTCCGTACTGTAGCTGCTTCTCTACATCTTCCAGTTGAGTACTGCATATAACTATTTCTTTTTGGATTTCCTGCATTGATATGAAAATTAATTGATAAAATTTCCCCCTATATATGTTTTGATCTTGAAAATTGCTTATCTAAGCCTTAAATATTGTTGTTTCACATACCTGCAACCGAGAATCAATGCCCATATTGTTGGTCCTATCAGAAAAGTAAAAGAAACTTAATCACAACTATGCATGGTCAATTACCATTAGAACAGATCACTTGACCAGAAGGCAAACCTAGAGGACTTGGAGGGGTGATTGCCAAAACCAGCCTCAATGCTCATCTGAGTAATAAGTCGCCGGATCAACTGAAAGGAATTATATTTCTCACATGCATATCATATAATAGAATCAAACCTTGTATTAAAAATTTGAAAATAACATCAAATCAAATGGTTTGGAGAAAAAGATAAGTGCTAATTACCTCTTGATTTGGCACCCTTTGTAATAATCAAGCGGTTCATGACCAAAAAACGAGAGCATTAATTCGTATCAAAAAGCAAATTAATACATACATATATATATACACACACACATCAACATTATATTTAAGCTAGAATCGCTAAGCCCTTTTCTTACTTTGATAAAATTTTCTTTTAGGAATTATCTCAATTACATAACGAAGTATATATGTTCATTACATAACTAAAACATATACAAGGTAAGATTGCCGTGATATTTTACTTTTAATGAAAATATTTAATGGAATTATGTAGCTCTTCCCAATTAATGAATGCCAATGTAGCAATATCTTGCTGCCCTGTTAATGTTCCAATATTAAGTAGTATTCAATTTCTTCACGAATTCACATTTATATAACCAATTCTTGTATATACTTTTAATTATCTAGCTTAACCCCATCACCCACAAAAAGAAAAATAAAATAGTCATTTACCATCCACGTCGATGAACAGGGAGTTCAACGTGATGAGCAAGAATTTCTTCTACCCTACATATACAACATAAAATTACAGGAATAAAATTCAATGAAATATCCAAAGACATCAAAAACAATAGAAATGACAAAATCACAAAAGTAAATAAGGGACAAGTTGAGTCTTGATCGTGAAACCCCCCCACCACCACCCCCAAATCTGACCTTTTCTTTCCATCAAAAAGGAAGAGTTTTCCAGCTGGGGAAAATATAATGAGAGCAACCTCTACATCACAAAGGGTCGAAAGTTCATAAGCTTTCTTGATAAGCCCAGCTTTCCTTTTGGCAAAAGTTATATGCCGATAAGTTTTGTGCTCTATTTTTTTCAGCTGCACTTTAACCCTACCCATTTTTTCTTTTCTTTCTGCCTCACTAGGCTTTCCCTTTAACCATTTATAGAAGATAAAAGTTTTGGACAACCCTCTTTAGTCTTTAACTTTGTTTAGGTCCACTATAGTGCAAAGTAAATGAACCTTTAACCCCTTCTTGCGCAACTTTGGATGTCATGGCTTGGACAACTGTACTGTTACTACAATAACTTTGGTAACCTATTCAAGCAGATTCTTAATTAAAGAGTTATTAAAGATACAGAGCAGCAACTCAATGCACAATTACACTCCAACGAGGCCAATATGCTATTTCATTTGGACTCTCCCCCTTGCTTCAATGATTCTAATTAAGTGCTAATTTGAATTTAAAACCATGGCCCCCATGCCAAATGTTTTAACTGTTGTGGATTCAAATTATGTACTTTTGAGTGCAAGTAGAGTACAAATTAACAAGCATAATTCAAATCGAAAGCAGATCGCAAACTATTTTTTCAGATATATATATTTGTTTAGATCGATCCAATTATGCATTTAAGTTTCAATCGAATTAGTATATTTGAAATAGAAATACCGTTTTTTCTGATATATATTTACTCGGATCGATCCAATTATGCATTTAAGTTCCAATCGAACTACTATATTTGAAATGAAAATATTGTTTTTTCTGATATATATTTATTCAGATCAATCCAATTATGCAT